TTGGGCTTTCATAGCGCTGTATGCTTCACCTTACTGGGATGTGGGGTGCCCAATAAAGCTAACCCCTCCGGGGCAATCTGTAATCAATCTGCCCTCGACTCGGTAAACAGGGAAGCCTTCTGGTGGACCCTCAACCGATTTGGCTGCCCACCAAAATTCATCGCTATTGCGAGGCAACTCCACGATGGTATGAACGGCAGTGTCCTGCACAACGGCACCCAGTCAGAGTTCTTCCCCATCCAAACAGGGGTTAAACAAGGGTGTACTGGCACTAACTCTCTTTTCCATCTTCTTGGCTGCCTTCCTTACTCTTGGCAATGCCAATTTAGCCAGCAGGGTGAACATCGAGTACCGGGTAAAGGGGGGTCTTTTCAACATAAGACGACTCGAGGTAAGAACAAAAGTGTCGGCAGCTTCCATTACTGAACTTCATTATGCAGACAACCTCACCCTTGTTGCTCACACAGAACACGACCTACAGGAGATCCTGAACACCTATGCAGACCTATACATCCTTGACCACCGAAGGGTCAAGACGTACCTGGCGCTCCTCTCGGAGCAGCCAGGTCAACTGTCAAGTTGGCCCATACCAACCCTCCCCGAACCCTCCTCCCCACCGGAATATCAACAAGTTCTCGCCAGAAGTTACAATTTCATTTAGGAAAGGAACGGAACCAGTGTTAAACAGAGGTGAACAGTGGTGAACAGTGCTTAAGTCAGTGAGAACAACTCAACAGTAACAGTCGTACCCAAGTTAACATTCACACAGTGAGGTCCCTGGTACCCAGTGATAACGGCCCGTGAGACCCAACAACAACCAGCGATGTGATAATCCGTCTACGATAGGAAGGCCTAAGACCACACCTCACTCATATAACACCATCTGTGAGGGAATTACTACACCACATGTCCCTCATAACACCAAATGTGAGGGAATTACTACACCACGTCAAGTCCCTCATAACACCATCTGCGAGGGAATTACTAGACCACGTGAGGTCCCTCATAACACCATCTGTGAGGGAATTACTACACCACGTCAGGCCCCTCATAACACCATATGTGATGGAATTACTACACCACGTGATGCCCTCATAACACCATCTGTGAGGGAGTTACTACACCACGTGAGGCCCTCATAACACCATCTGTGAGTTAATTACTACACCACGTGAGGTCCCTCATAACACCATCTGTGAGGTAATTACTACACCACGTGAGGTTCCTCATAACACCATCAGTGAGGGAATTACTACACCACGTGAGGCCCCTCATAACACCATCTGCGAAGGAATTACTACACCACGCCAGGTCCCTCATAACACCATCTGAGGGAACTACTACACCACGTAAGTTCCTCCTAACACCATCTGGGAGGGAGTTACTACACTACGAGTTTGCTGTTCAACACCTACATTAATCTGTATGTTCACTGTATGTTCCTTTACCTTTCTAATGAAAGCTTTTGTTAAACCACCAATATATGTATAAGTCATTTATGTCCAATGTATATTTTTAGCCTTCGGGCTGCAGAATTTTTTCAATAAACAGTTAATTATTATTATTATTATTATTATTATTATTATTATTATTATTATTATTATTATTATTATTATTATTATTATTATTATTATTATTATTATTATTATTATGCACACTTCGGCCTTTAGGTGAATTTACGTAAGACTCAGATTCTCTTTCAACCTGTCCCTGGTTCAGACACACCTCAACCATCCATCCAGCTTAACGGTACTACACTCTCTAATGTTGCCCACTTTCGGAACATCGGCTCCCACCTGTCCACCACCGCAGACATCGATGAATAAATTCAGCATCGGATCAGATGTTCATCTCACGCCTTGGACGAACTTCGAAATCGTGTCTTCAGCTGTAGGGAGCTGAAATTATCCACAAAATTGCACGTATATCGGGCAGTGGTCGTCCCCACCCTGCTATATGGCAGTGAGACATGGGTCACATACAGGAGGCACCTCAAGGCACTTGGAAACTTTCACCAACGTAGTCTATGTTCCATCCTCCAAGTTCGCTGGGAAGACAAGATAACAAATGACAGCATTCTTGCTGACACCAACTGTAGGAGCATCGAGGCTACCATTATCTATGAACTGGCCATGTTGGACTGGCCACATGTTACCCGCATGGACGACAGTAGACTGCCAAAGCAGCTACTTTACAGTCACCTAACGAATAGTAAACGTAACGCTGGCGGTCAATTGAAAAGGTATGAGGATAGTCTTAAGACAACCCTGTAAAGGTGCCAAATCGACCCCCTCACCTGGGAGTCGATTACTCAACATCGTAACGCTTGGAGGAGCACCACACGAGAAGGTGTCAATACTTTCGAGTTAGCCCGACTGCAAACCGAGGCAGATAAGTGCCAACGTAGCATAGCGTAGCGTAAGCGTAACGTCGGAAAGACGCTGCCACCGCTCCTCCCACAGTAGATGGAGCCCTCCACATGTGCAACGAATGTGGACGGCGCTGCCGGTCCCGTATCGGGCTCTTTAGTCACCTCAAAACTCACTAACCTAGGTGACATCTGTAATATCTTACATTATATAATAGAAGAATGACAAGCCAAGCTGGTCTACCTAGAGCATTTATTATTTGTCGTTCGTACCCCGTGCAGGTAGCAAGAAGGTCTAATACTGAGGTGTCGGAGTTATATATATGTATGTTTATATGCTGCCTTTATTGAATATATTATATATTATGCTACTTACCAAAGTCAGAAAGTGTTTAGGCTTGTGTAAACACGAAATGTGTTAGGCACGTTGTAAACAAGAACAGAGAATAAACGCCCAGCCAGACCGACCATGTGCTTGTCATTCTCCCATTAAATAACGCAAGATACTACACTGGCGACGAGGATAAGATTCACAAAGTGTTGGTGAAGTGCTTGAAGAGAGGATAGTGACCACTGAAGGAAGGCTACTCTGAACCTGGAGAATTTATGAAGAGAGCAACCATGGCTGGCGTCAGTGGATACATCGTCAGTGGATACATTGGACGACTGGGGGAGTATGATGCAGACAAGGAAGATTTCACATCATATTGTGAGAGAATGGGCTTTCTTTCTGGCAAATGAATTAATGGACGACGGTGGTGATGCTCAGAAGAAGAAAGCCCTTCAAGAGAAAAGAAAGCAATCTTTTGACAGAGGTAGGAGCTAATATTTATTCTACTCTGGTCAATCTGCTTACTCCAGACAAACCCAAGGACTCTCACTGATTCAGATTACCAAGATTCTGAAGCAACATTTTGATCTTGCTCCACTTGAGATCGCTGAAAGTTACAGATTTGGCACCAGAGATAGAGGTAAAGATGAATCAGTAAGTAATTATATAGTAGCTTTGAAGAAGTTATCCATTCACTGTAACTTTGGACAGTTCTTGAACCGAGCTCTAAGAGACACGCTTTGTAATAGGCCTGAATTATGAAAAAATACAGAATAAGTTAATGAACACCACTAACTTAACTTTTGAAAGTGCTTGTCAGATAGCTACAAACATGGAATTGGCCGTTTATTCTCTGTTCTGGTTACAACGTGCCTAACACATTTCGTGTTTACAAAGCCCAAACACTTTCTGACTTTGGTAAGAAGTAACATAATATATAATGTATATATAATCAATAAAGGCAGCATATAAACATACATATATATGACACTATTTCTCCCTTTCAAAAGAGAGCATGGCTGCTACAACCTAAATAACAAAACTTACAGAATTACCTATGGCAGGGAAGAAGGGAATAGAACACAACAAATATAACTTCCTAACTAAAACGGCTTGAAAGGCCTGTTCACAATTCAGATAATTAGAGGTCTAATTTAATTACAGGTCTCCTAACTCTGTTTGATCTTCTAGGACTATTCCTCCATCAAGTTTTACAGGGTTTCACTTGCACTCTGTGCATTATCAGTGACAGACATATCATCACTACAGTCAGTTGACACAGTGAGTGGATGCTGAAACATCATCTTTGACATCATCATGATGATGATCATCTGAAACTGTGTCAAGTTTATCATCATGTCCTGGTGCTATCATCTCGTCATGTGCCTGAATGATGTGATCCACATGAACATATCTCAAAGAGTTACCACATTTCACTAAATATGTCCTAGATCCACATACCTTGTCAATGACACCAGTTATCCACTTTGCATGTACAGTACCATAACCTTTAGCCATATTCCTAACTCTCACTCTATCATTTACCTTGAACACTTTTCACTGGAACTCTTATCATGATACATTTTTGTTGAGCTTGTTTCTCTCTACATCTTCAAACAGACTTGGCTTAACTAAACTTAAATCTTGTTCTCAACTGTCTCTTCACCATTAACTCTGCAGGAGTCCATCCTGTCACACTATGTGGCGTGGTTCTGTATCTGAGTAAGAAATTTGCTAGTCTGTGTTTCATTGATTTTCCTACAGTTCTTGAATTACCTGCTTGGAAAGTGCTTCTTTACAATTCTAACTGATTCCTCAGCTGCACCATTAGAGGAGGATGATAGGTGGGGTCAGTACATGCTTACACCGTTGAGTCTCATGAAGTTTTAAACTCTGATTATACTGCCAGACTGGGG